AAAAATAATAATAAATAAAATCAACACACCACGGAGGCAAAAGTTCGACAAGAAAAACCGGTCAAACCTCTTACCACCTTGGGTCAAAAGAGAAATGGGAAAAGATCCAAAGGAATGCACAACAAAGAAGACTAATGCTATCAATGGGAATGGAACCTTAGACCTCTCACTTATAAAATCAAAGTTTTAACCACTAAGCTATGAGTGTTTCTTGAAACCTCAAGGGAACACTCCCTTCTTAAACCCCGCTAAGTCCCCAAGACCCACAAAACCCCCAAATCAAAAACCCTTCTTCTTCCTCCCCACTCTCACTCTCCCTCTCTTCCTCTCTCTCCCCCCTCCACGCCGCCGACACCACCCGAACACCACAGAGACTCACCCCGCCAACGACCGCCACCAACCAGCCGCCGACAACCACCCGGTCAACACCACCACCGTGCGCCTGCCGTCGCCACCCGCGACGCTGCTACCTCCCGTCGCACGCCCGGCTGCACCCCACTGCCGCAAACCGGCGCACGACACCTCCAAGCCCCGCCTAGGCCTGCCGCCTTCGCCGTCGAAACCGGAACACCGCCTAATTCAAGCCACATCGCCACCTCGATGCCGAAAAATCTTCGCCGGAGCATCACCGGAGATCGCCGGAGCCTCGCCGAAAAAACATCACCGGGAAAAACGCCACCTTGAGGAATCTCGCAATGCCGAAGAAGCCCGTTGGGATCCGAAACCCGGAATGGAACGATGCCGACTACACGGTGATCAGAGGTAAAGCCCTCGAACCCGACCAATTCTCCCCGGAATTGGTCGATATGCTTAACTTCCAAGGGTTTTTGGATACCTATCTCAAAATCAAGGGAGATACGTACCCCGAGATGGTGAAAGAATTCTATCACCACTTAGTAGCTGTCAAACGGGGTGATAAGTTGGAAATCACCACCAAGGTCCGGAGCAAAGAAATATTGCTCTCCAAATGCCGCTTAGCCAAACTCCTGAAACTGACCACCATGGGTGTGTCAGACTACGATCGGAAGGCATGGATCGGTACCCAAACTCGTGCCTTGATAAATCTTTAATGATGATTATGATATGATCTTGATATTGATGAGATGATCTTATGTGTTGATCTTGATAATCTTGATGATTATAAGAGGATCTTGATAATTGTGTGCTGATTCTTGATAAATCTTGATATTCTTGATTTTAAAGATAAAGTATGATTTTGTGATTTAAATATGATTAGAGCCCTAGGTTGAATCATGAATTTCGTATTGTGATATTCTTGGTATATTTGGGTGGGAATTCGCATGTTCGGGTGTTGATTATGTTTAGAACATGTTAGGATATGTTCAATGTGATTCTTGGTTTTGATCCGTTATTTGCCTACGTGGTGTCGTCGGTTGCGTTTAAAAGTGTCTAAACATGGTTTCGGGTTCCACAAAAGATCCCGTGACCCAAATATTGAAAAAGAGTCAGTGGGGGGGGGGGGGGTAGGGGAACCCGCTGCCCCTAAAGGGCGTCGCCGGCAGCGAGCAGGCGACTGCCCGCCGGGCACCCGCTGCCCATCATCTCGCCGCCGGACCCACTAGAAACTCCCAAGTGGGAAGGTGGTTTTCCCCATTTGATATGATGTTTCCCCGACCCTCGTGGTGTCCCACGGACTCCGTTTATCGTGCTTGAGTCTAATTTGATGTTTCGGGTACCATTCGTAGGATAAAAGAGTTTTATGTATTGCATGCTAGTTGAATTGGTATCCCGTTGACCTAGGCGAAAGATGTATGAACCCCTTAGGAATATTCCTAGTATGTGGATGACCACGCATAAGTTTATTGATACGTTTTCGCCCCTTTCCCAATGTGCTACTGTGAGTTGCATGTGCTTGCTATGTGTTATGTGTGCATGATACCCCAATTTGGTTGCGATAAAATTGGCTATACGGGCTGTTGGATGGGTTGAGAACCATACCAACTGTTAACCAGGCCTGTGACACCCCAAAAATCCAAATTCAATTCATGGATTAATTGAATAATTAATCCTATTTCAATCGAGGAATTAATTTCTAAAATCCAGAAATTTAATAGTTGGGGACTAGTATTTGATTAGTCAACTCCAAAGTCAAGTTGTACCTTGAGCTTTGAAGGGAGTTCCCTTGTTCCTTACACTTTTCTAATGTTAGTAAGGGCATTCTTGACCTTTCACCAAGTGTTAGTATTGTAACCTAACCTAGTAAACATCTTCATTCTACCCCTTACAATTTCTAAAATTTAGCTCTACCTTCTCTCTAGAAAGGTGAGTAGCTTTTCCTCCAAGCTAAGTTGAGGCCTTGCCAAGACTTCAAGAGTTGCTTCCAAGATTCAACCTTTCACCTATTTGGGCATCTAGGAGGGTAAGATCTAAGCCTATCTTGTGTTTTTGGTTCCATCTTAGGTGTCTTTTCTTAAAGGTAGGATCTTTATGATCTTTTGGTTTGTTCTTAAAGTGGGTTTGGAAAGTGAGCCTTGTAAGGAGCTTGTTCAGGTGTGAAGTGAAGTCTTTTAGTCTACAAGAGGTAACCCATGCTCTACAAAATCTATTTTTCTTACCTATATGTGATTTTTTGGATTCTACTTGTGTTTTGCTATGAAATGTGAGTGTTGATGCATTGTCTTGTGAAAAATGCATATCTAGAGCTTGTGTTTAGGGTTCTTGTGTGCCATTGCTTGGCATTTCCTATGGTTCAAGTCATTTTGTTGTATTGGGTGAGATTTGGCATGTTTTGGACTTGAATTTGAGCTTGGAGTTGAAAATCCCCAAAGGGACTATTTTTGGACACAGGGATGTACCCGCGGGCAGAACGACGGGCAGAGCCCTACCCGCCGCCCACCCGCAGGTACATGGCCTCGTGGGTAGTGTACCCGCGGGCGGAACCACGGGTATGGGCTTATCCGTGGGTCCACCCGCGGGGAACACTTCGTTGTTGAAATGGGATTTGTTTCCCGTGATTCTTTTGACTTGGTATTTGGTCTTTTGACTTCCCGATGTTCTTTTGTGGAACTATTTGAGTGTCTTCTTGATGTTTCGTATGTCTAGAACTATGTGGTAGGTATCCATATAGGCCTTTGGTGTCTTGAATCGTGCTAAGTGTTCAACATTGTGCTTCGTTGAACCGTGATGAGTCTTGTGTGTTCTTCGGAACTATCTTTGGTTTACCCGTTTGATAAGCATGCTAGTTCGGTGTTTAAATACTATCGTGTGTGTTGTTTGTACCTTCCTATTGGTTGATGATAACTTGTGTTATTCATCGTTGTTGTTTTTGGGCTGTGACCCATTCCTTGATTGAGTATGTTTCATACCTTCGTTGTAATTCGTTAATTGATTCATGTTGAGGTGTGGTATGTGTGGCTTTACCTGGATTGCACGATTAGTGGTATGGGACACTAGTCACCAAGGTATTGCAACGGTCCTCGTGGTGGCCGTGACTTGATTATGGAGTTGTGGCCTGAGTGATTGGTCCACGTATTTCTTGGGAAGGCATGTGTTGCCGTGTGTGTGTACGGTACCTCGTGTACTATGAAATTGGTGGTCTCGTTGGTGGTCGTTGGTGGGGGACGACGGTCCCGGAGAGAAAAGGTTGGACTAAGAAGTACAGGGGTCTTGGAGGTAATGGTTGGAAAGAAGAAACAAGGTTGGGGGTAGTCATAAGGTTGGAATCGGGCATAAGGTAGGCATATCAACTCGTGATGGGTGATGTCACAAGGGCTATTGTAGCCGGTGTTGTGTGTTCTTCTCTTGTGACGTGTGTAGTCATAGAGGCATGTGTTGCCAGTTGTGTAAGTCTTATTCTTTTGCGTTGTACTTGTCGGGTTTTGATCTATTGAGTGATGATAGATCATGCCTTGACTCTTTTGTGAGTCGTGTTGTTCTTGTGGTCTTGGGATGTGTTCCCGTGTTGTTTGTTGAGAGTGTTGAGTCTTATGTTGGCTTTGACTCTTGGTTTTACACTTATATATATGTATTCCGTTTCGAAAATGGTTTGACAACTTATATGTTACCTATTTATGTTATTTCACATGTATTGGTGGGTTACTAGCATTATTCGCTGACCAGGCGTCGTCCCATGTTTACTTGTGATCTTTCAGGTGATGTCTAGACTAGAGCGGAGTCTAGTGCCCGATAGTGTAACTCTTTTCGTTTGTCTTACGGCCTGTGAGCCGGTTTAGTTTTACACTTGTGAGTTTTGGGATAGTTGTATACCATGCAGATTTGGCCGTACCGTTTATCATTGTTGGTAAACGTGGCATAACACCCCTATTCTGGATTTACTTTTATCCAGTTACCTTTTATCTTCCGCCGTGCTAGTGTTTTGTTGTGATATCTGTATGTGTTAAGTCTTTTTATATAGCATGTTTTGGGGGGTGTTACAGTTGGTATCAGAGACTAGGTTTGAACCTAGGAAGAGTTAATTCTAGACTCTCTAAGTGTCTAAGTGTGGTTTGAGACCTCTAAGCGACCTTAAGAAGCTAAGTGTTAGGCTTAGGACTCTAGGTTGCGCGGTGAGCGTTGTGTTGCTTTCTGTTCTTGCTTGTTTGCTATCTTTTGGTAACCGTGTTGTTGTTGTAGAAGTTGCGATGCCTCCTCGTCCCCGAGCACGCACCCCGGAGACCCCGACCAACGAGCAGCTCGCTCAGAACCTTCACCAGCTGTCTCAGACCCTGCAGACGCTCAGTGAAGCTTTGTTGAACAACAATCACGCTGTGCCGCCTCCTCCCCCTGCATGGCACCGTGATGTAGGTCGTTTGGTGTCGGGACATAGGCCGCCAACCTTCGCCGGCGAGGAAGACCCGCTAGTCTTAGAAGAGTGGCTACGGGTGTTTGACAAGATCTTCACCATTGTGGGTTGCCCCGAAGAGAGAAGAGCAGAACTGGCAACGTTCTACTTTTGCCATGAAGCAGATTTGTGGTGGGTCCATGAAGGTCCGGCTCTTCTTGAAGAACCCGAGTTCGACTAGACCGCGCTCAAGGACAGAATGCGCGAGAGGTTCTACCCAACACATGTGCGCGCCGCCATGTATGAAGAGTTTCTCCACCTGCAGCAAGGATCCATGCCTGTGGCTGAATACTACAAGAGGTTCTTGGAGTTGACACGTCTTGCGAGGATGTTTGTGCCTACAGAGCTCGCTAAAGTCGAGAAATTCGTGGCCGGTCTGAACTATGAGGCGCGAAAAGCTTTGACTATGAGTAGGCCGAGTTCTCTTAAGGACGCTTACGTGTGTGCCGCCGATCTGTATCGCGTGCAGCAGCTTCAGAGAGGATCGTTCGAGCATGCTAGGAAGAGGACCGAGGGCGGAGGTTCTTCTACCTTTAAGAAGCCAAGACCGAGTTTCCAGGCCAAGAACGTGTCATCTTCTTCTCAAGGACCTATCAGAATGGAGCATCGGGATCAAGCTAAGACGGTTGTTTGCCGTAGATGTGGGAAGGTGCACACGGGCCAAGATTGTCATGGTCAGGCGTTTAGGTGTTTCCGATGCGGGGATCATGGTCACAAAGTCGCGGAGTGTCCCCAGCTTGCCGGTCAGAGAGCGTTGCCGCCACCCCCGGGAGTCGGAGGAGCCTCGGGAGGGAGTTCGTGGTTATGGAGCAGTCGGAGCTAGGCCACCTGGAAAGGTCTTTGTGATGGCGCGTTCACAGGCTGAGTTGGAGGGCTTGATGGAGGATGAGTTGGCAGGTAACCCCTTTTCTCTAGCCTATCCTTGTTTTCTGCGATCACCGTGTTCTTTGTTGCCTTGAGTGTTACCTTGTGTTTCGTAGATGTCTATTTGAGCTACTTGGCAATCCTTGGCATGTTTCCCTAGTAAGTGATTCTTTTGGAGCTTAGTGTAAACTCTTCTTGCTAAGTGATTTCTTTAGTTTGGTATATAAGTTTCGTTATGAAGTTAACAATCCATCCTTGTAATGTTTTGTGATTTGGGCCAATTCTACAATCCTTATACTTGGTTGTTCTTACAACAATTCCTTGTGAGCTCCCTAAATTTTCCAAGTATTCTTTGAATTTGGAAATAGCAAAATTCATACCAAAAACCTCTCCTTGTGTAGCTTAAAAGCCAAACCTAATGTTTAATTATAACCTTTGAGTTTTGAACCTAAGCCTATTCTTTATCAACCTAACCTCTAAACCACTTGAGCCAATTATCTTTCTTAGAACCTATCCAATTTTAATTCAATCTAAACCATAAATTTCCACTTTACCCAAAATCCCCAAATTAATTAATCTTTTTCCCTAATTTCTCCCAAATCCCTAAAATCCCAAATTCTCTTTTCTTCTTCTCTTCTCCACCCGTGAGAACACCTAATCCCACCCCCAACCCGTAGCTTCACCGCCACCACCACCAACCCGTCGCCCCACCGTCACCGAGCCACCGCTACGCCATCGTCGCAGCAGCCCGGAGCTCCGCCGTGCCGCGCCGACCTATTGTCGCCGAGAGAGCCGATCGAGAGAGAGAGAGAGAGAGAGCTCAAGAGAAAGAGAGGGGCAACGAGTGTAAGGAGGAAAGAAGAGGAGGTTGTGGGCTTTGTTTGTTGAGCTTTGGGTCATCTCTTGCCATGCCTAGAAGATCAAGTTTGGCTAGAAAAGCGGAGTGGGTGGATGCCCACTACCTTGTTCTTGAAGGTAAAGCTTTTGACCCAGAATCTTTTCCTAGTGCCTTGTTGGATATGCTTAGATTTCAGGGTTTATTGGATGGGTTTCTCGCCATAAGGGCCGAGACTTACCCGAGTGTGGTTAAAGAGTTTTATCATCACATGGTTGTGACAAGGGAAGGTGATAAGCTTGAGATCATTTCTAAAGTGAGAGGTGTAAAGTTGGTGCTTTCTGAGAAGAGGCTGGCTCAGCTTTTGAGTTTGTCTGCTACCAGAATGGCTCAGTACAGTGGTCATGCTTGGATTAGTACGGATACCATGGGGTACCGTGACTACTTGAGCTATTTGTTGAGCCGTACGAGTGGTTTCACTCAAGCCTCTAGACCGAAGAAGAAGTGGTTGTCTGCAGAGCAAAGGATTTTGGTAATGTTGGTACCGGATTGTTTGTTGCCTAATAACAACAAAAGCAGTTTGTTGGGAAAGTTGGAGTGCACCTTTGCCTTTTGTCTCAAGAATATGGTTAAGTTCAACTTGCCAGCTTTGATTTTGCAACACATGGTGTTTTGCCGGGATCACAATCGGAAGAGCTTACCGTACGGGATGGTGTTGAGTTGGATCTTAGTTCGGAAGGGTGTCAGTGTGGATGGTTGTCTCCCGAAGGCTGTGGGAAAGATGGTGTTGAATGCCGCCAACCTTCGGAGTTGTAATCTGTTTCAAATGGATGATGGTGAGTACGTCACACTGGAGGAAGTGGCAAGAAAAGCACCTGAAGAAAAGGCCGAGTTGGCAGCTGAGCTTGGCATTCATGCCGGGAAGTTGAGCTTCGCCGTTCAGAGTTTGGGAGGTGATGAGGAAGCCGAGGATGAAGCCGATCGTGAGGATGTGGTGGGAGCACCAGAAGTTGCTGAAGCTGAAGAAAGTGATTCAGATAGTGAAGAGAACCGACGGAGAAGGGAAGCTTGCACGAAGAGGGAGCATGATGCCATGGCACACGAGGAGCACGTTATCGCCTTGCTTCGCCAGCAGAACCGCTTGGTCGAGGAGGGTTTCACCTTTATGAAAACGCAGTTCGTTGTCGTGCATCAGAGGCTAGACCAGGTTGAGGCCAGTTCGAGCCGCAGAGACGAAGATGACGAGGAGTCTGAGGAGGCCGAGGAGTCTGAAGAGGTCGAGGAGTTGGAGAGTGAGGAGTTCTAGCTTGTGTTGTGGTAATCACGTTTGCCTTTTTCCTTGCTGTTTCCTTTTAGCCGGTGTTAGATTGGTGGTAGTTTGTTGCTTACCTTGTGTGTTTGCTTGCTTTGCTTGTTACCTTGTTGTTAGATAGCTTAATAGTTGGTGTTTGGAGTTAGCTATCTAGTTCTTGGTTGTTGTCTAGAAGTCGGTGTTGGTGTTTAATCTAGAGTTCGTGATGATCAATCCAACCCTCTGTTAAACTCTTGCCAATTCTTGATTTGATATAAGCCTTCCTTCTTGTTTGGAATTCTTGTGAAACCTTTTGAGTTTTGACCAAAAGAGCTTATTCTTGAACCTCTTGTCACAATGTTGTTTCCTATCAAAGTTTGTTCTAATTCGTCGTACCCAAGCTTCAGGGACGAAGCTTCTTTGAAGGGGGAGAGGATGTGACACCCAAAAAATCCAAATTCAATTCATGGATTAATTGAATAATTAATCCTATTTCAATTGAGGAATTAATTTCTAAAATCCTGAAATTTAATAGTTGGGGACTAGTATTTGACTAGTCAACTCCAAAGTCAAGTTGTACCTTGAGCTTTGAAGGGAGTTCCCTTGTTCCTTACACTTTTCTAATGTTAGTAAGGGCATTCTTGACCTTTCACCAAGTGTTAGTATTGTAACCTAACCTAGTAGACATCTTCATTCTACCCCTTACAATTTCTAAAATTTAGCTCTACCTTCTCTCTAGAAAGGTGAGTAGCTTTTCCTCCAAGCTAAGTTGAGACCTTGCCAAGACTTCAAGAGTTACTTCCAAGATTCAACCTTTCACCTATTTGGGCATCTAGGATGGTAAGATCTAAGCCTATCTTTTGTTTTTTGTTCCATCTTAGGTGTCTTTTCTTAAAGGTAGGATCTTTATGATCTTTTGGTTTGTTCTTGAAGTGGGTTTGGAAAGTGAGCCATGTAAGGAGCTTGTTCAGGTGTTAAGTGAAGTCTTTTAGTCTACAAGAGGTAACCCATGCTCTACAAAATCTATTTTGCTTACCTATATGTGATTTTTTGGATTCTACTTGTGTTGTGCTATGAAATGTGAGTGTTAATGCATTTGTCTTGTGAAAAATGCATATCTAGAGCTTGTGTTTAGGGTTCTTGTGTGCCATTGCTTGGAATTTCCTATGGTTCAAGTCATTTTGTTGTATTGGGTGAGATTTGGCATGTTTTGGACTTGAATTTGAGCTTGGAGTTGAAAATCCCCGAAGGGATTATTTTTGGACACAGGGATGTACCCGCGGGCGGAACGACGGCCAGAGCCCTACCCGCCGCCCACCCGCAAGTACATGGCCTCGTGGGTAGTGTACCCGCGACCCGAACCACGGGTAGGGGCCTACCCGTGGGTCCACCCGCGGGGAACACTTCGGTGTTGAAATGGGATTTGTTCCCCGTGATTCTTTTGACTCGGTATTTGGTCTTTTGACTTCCCGATGTTCTTTTGTGGAACTATTTGAGTGTCTTCTTGATGTTTCGTATGTCTAGAACTATGTAGTAGGTATCCATGTAGGCATTTGGTGTTTTGAATCGTGCTAAGTGTTCAACATTGTGCTTCGTTGAACCGTGATGAGTCTTGTGTGTTCTTCGGAACTATCTTTGGTTTACCCGTTTGATAAGCATGCTAGTTCGGTGTTTAAATACTAGCGTGTGTGTTGTTTGTACCTTCCTATTGGTTGATGATAACTTGTGTTATTCATCGTTGTTGTTTTTGGGCTGTGACCCATTCCTTGATTGAGTATGTTTCATACCTTCGTTGTAATCCGTTAATTGATTCCTGTTGAGGTGTGGTGTGTGTGGCTTTACCTGGACTGCACGATTAGTGGTATGGGACACCAGTCACCAAGGTATTGCAGCCGTCCTCGTGGTGGCCGTGACGTGATTATGGAGTTGTGGCCTGAGTGATAGGTCCACGTATTTCTTGGGAAGGCATGTGATGCCGTGTGTGTGTACGGTACCTCGTGTACTATGAAATTGGTGGTCTCGTTGGTAGTCGTTGGTGGGGGACGACGGTCCCTGAGAGAAAAGGTTGGACTCGAAGTACAGGGGTCCTGGAGATAATGGTTGGAAAGAAGAAACAAGGTTGGGGGTAGCCATAAGGTTGGAATCGGGCATAAGGCAGACATATCAACTCGTGATGGGTGATGTCACGAGGGCTATTGTAGCCGGTGTTGTGTGTTGTTCTCATGTGACGTGTGTAGTCACAGAGGCATGTGTTGCCTTGGCATGTGTTACCGGTTGTGTAAGTCTTATTCTTTTGCGTTGTACTTGTCGGGTTTTGATCTATTGAGTGATGATAGATCATGCCTTGACTCTTTTGTGAGTCGTGATGTTCATGTGGTCTTGGGATGTGTTCCCGTGTTGTTTGTTGAGATTGTTGAGTCTTATGTTGGCTTTGACTCTTGGTTTTGCACTTATATATATATGTATTCCGTTTCGAAAATGGTTTGACAACTTATATGTTACCTATTTATGTTATTTCACATGTATTGGTGGGTTACTAGCTTTATTCGCTGACCGGGCGTCGTCCCATGTTTACTTGTGATCTTTCAGGTGATGTCTAGACGAGAGCGGGGTCTAGTGCCCAATAGTGTAGCTCCTTTCGTTTGTCTTACGGCCTGTGAGCCGGTTTAGTTTTACACTTGTGAGTTTTGGGATAGTTGTATACCATGCAGATTTGGCCGTAGCGTTTATCATTGTTGGTAAACGTGGCATAACACCCCTGTTTTGGATTTACTTTTATCCAGTTACCTTTTATCTTCCGTTGTGCTAGTGTTTTGTTGTGATATCTGCATGTGTTAAGGCTTTTTATATAGCATGTTTTGGGGGGTGTTACAAGGCCGGTTGCGATCGGTCAGGTATATAAATATTATATAGGGCTGCGGTCCACCAATTGGTTGCGATCAAACGTTTTACATGAGCTGCGGTTCATAATCTGGTTGCGATTAGAAATACACTTTTGGGCTGCGGTCCACTGTTTGGTTGCGATCAAACATTATGATGAGCTGCGGTTCATCGATCGGTTGCGATCGACCCCTTCGTGTTGCGATACGAGGCAGGGTGCTTCGGGCATGCCAGAGCTATATGCACTGGTGCTTCGTGTATGGGCGCGTGAAGGGTCCTGCAGCACCACCAAAGTGTGTTTATGTGATTGAGATAATGATTGAATAATGATATGGATGACGTGAAATAATCTTATGACCTTAGTATACATGCTAGTATCTTTATATGCGTGATGATAACTGTTGAATGTGCTTGTCCCTACTTGTTGAGTTTATTCTCGGTTTTTAAAGCTAGAGTTTCCTAAGTATATATCTTCCGGCTTCAAAATGGTTTTCCAATATATATATATATATATATATATATATATATATATATATATATATATATATATATATATATATATATAATCCGGATCAGGTGAGGACCTAATCTTAGGTGAGGACGTGAGGACTAATCTTGTGCGTTTATTTTTTTATTTGGATGATCCAGATTTGAGTTCTTAAGATGACATGGATTGATCTTTTTTGTTAAAGTGAGATAATAGTGTCTTTTTCTATTTTTTTTAAGTGTGAACGCATGTATAATCCTTGGCCAAATTTGTTTCCTATTTTCTTGGATCATCACCGTTGCAATTTGGAGCCACGATTTCTTCATCATTGATTGAGTGTTCGCCCATGCAAACTAATCAGTATTTTTTATTTTTTTTCGCTTGTTCTTTTGACTATAATGTTGTCTATATTTGGATTGTCGTGTATATGTATAAATGTCTGGGTAGTATGATTGTGCATTCGTGTGTGCTGATTGTGCAACCTAGTGTTGTAAGTTGTGCACTATAGGCTAGGGAGTTGTGCATTATAGCACATAGTTCAATGCATCGTAGAACATTGGATGTTCACTGTATGATTTTTTTGGCGGGGTTTGAATGCACAACAATGAAGTTATTGATGCACAACACTCAGTATAGGAATGCACAACATTTTGTATAGGATTGCACATCTTTTAATAAGACTGATTTTCCCTAAATTTATATATTTTAATATTTTAAAGGGATTTATTTTCTTAATCCGTGTGATTTGTTTCTTTTAATCTCAATCATACATCATTCTGATTTAATGGTCTAGATTAGTCCTCACGTCCTCACGTCCTCACCTAAGATTAGGTCCTCACCTGATCCGGACCCTATATATATATATATATATATATATATATATATATATATATATATATATATATATATATATATATATATATATATATATATAAGACTGATTTTCCCTAAATTTATATATTTTAATATTTTAAAGGGATTTGTTTTCTTAATCCGTGTGATTTGTTTCTTTTAATCTCAATCATACATCATTCTGATTTAATGGTCTAGATTAGTCCTCACGTCCTCACGTCCTCACCTAAGATTAGGTCCTCACCTGATCAGGACCCTATATATATATATATATATATATATATATATATATATATATATATATATATATATATATATATATATATATATATATATATATATATATATTGTATTTCAACGCGTTGGAGTGGGTTACCAGCATTATTCGCTGAACAGATATATTTGGCTTTCAGGCACAGATAAGTAAACTCCGGAGCGCGCTAAAGGACCGAAGCTTAGATAGATAGTTTTCCTTTCGGCCTGCATTCCATGATGATGTATTGATATTACTTTGAGGATACTTAGTTACTATAGCCTGTGCATTTGAGTTCTCCAGCTCAGATGTGGCATAGCACCCCAAACTCTTATGTTTAGTATGCTCTGTTTTGGGATTTAATGATAATACTACATTTATTTCATAAGCTTTGAAAGTTTTAAATTTTAGGGGTGTTACAATATCAATTGAAATGAAGGGAATTGGATCAAGCTTTCTTTGCTCATATGCATTTGGGAAGTCTAAAATGGGAATGTGAATGGAAATGGAAATGATGCATTGATTGGTCCTTTGGAATGAATTTTTACGAAGGTTAAGCCGACTACGGTCATTAGACTATTAAGCAATTCGAGTTCTACTTTTGTAGTAACTTTAATTGCCTAAGGCATTTTATTGAACACCTTGTCTACATACTTTCTTTCGAGCTCCACATTTCGGTAAGAGGTGGGAATTGCAAGTGAAGAGGCTCATGTGAACTCCCAATCTCTTGTATACAATACATATTTCCTAAAATCCTAACATGATGTGGCCATCACCATGCAAGAATCAATACAAAATTCACTTCCAACAACAAAACTCGTTCAATCAATGCATTATTCAATTCTTAAAAGCAATGAATATCAAGAATGCATAATCACAAAGGAAACCTAATCCAATTCCTAAGAATCTAGCTACTCATATACTTATGATTTGAAATCATAATTGAGAAAGTTGATGAAGAGAAACAATTAATGGAGATTAGAAGTGAGAAAATGTAGGAAAAACATAGCTTCAATCACAATTGACAATCCACAATCACAATTTTTTAATCCTTCAAGAAAGGAGCTTGCAGATTTGGTGCAAGTTGATAATTTGCATACAACCCTCAAGCTTTCTCTCTCTAGAATGAATACGGATTTTTCAGTAACAAATGAAATCTAGTCTAATTTTGTTACAAGGTCAAATCATTAAAGCCTTTAAATACTCTATGCCCAGAATTCTATGCGCGGTGAGGTTGTAAGTTATCTTTTGTATCTGTTTCGTTCTTTTATCTTGTTAGCTTTAGTTGTTGTGGTAGTTGATCTCGGTTGGTGTGAACCTTCTCGGTAAGTTGCCTCGCCCTGGTTTCGTTGAAGTCTTGACGAAGACTGTGGCTAAGAGAATGAAGACTCGAATGTCTGTTGTTACAAGGTAGCAAAGTCGTTGTGGTTACAGCTGAGCATGTGGCCAACTCAAAGAAGAAGATTGCTTTACTCGCAACCTAGAGTCAACTACAACAATCCCTGCTCGAACAAGTGGCGCTGTCTCTGGTACGACATCGTCATCAGCTCTACGTTAAACCCCAGAGTTGAAGTCTAAGTTTCGTGCAGCAGAAGTCCGTTAAGAAGCAAAGACGTCAATTGGAGTTCAAAGATCAAGACTTGAAGACCCTCACGCACGAGGGAGAGTCAAGAGCGGTCGCAGACGCTCTAAGAAGATGTCAACACACGCCAAGTGGTCGTCTTTGGATCAACGTGATAGAAGCTTCCCAGAGTTAAAGAGCTAAGAGTTAACTTTGGATCTTTCTAAAGCACGAAGAGTTGAAGTGTAAGATCGAAGTGTTCAACGTAGAAGTAGTCCTACCTACCCTTGAAGAAACCAAGATTGGGCAAGTTCGAAGCAATGAACTTGGAAGTAATAGAGATCAAGATGGGTATACAAGAAAAACTTGGACCTTTAAGGTACACGGAGAAGAGGAACCACGTTGCTGGTGAGTCGTTTGACTCTGTGAAGCGCGAAGCAGTTGAGAAGTAATTGGTAAAGGTGGGTACCTTATACCCCAGCCGACACACCCTAAAAGCGATGGTTAACATGAAGACTTTTGGTAAGGAAGTTTGGCATAAGAAAAAAAGAAGACGTGATCGATGTGCAATCAATCGTTGGAGCCGTCAAAAGACTCAAACCATCAAATTGAACACTGATGCAGCCTTTGATCACACTAGTAAAATGATGGGAATGGGCTGGGTACTCCTAGATGATGAAGGTAGGTTCAGTGCTGCGAAAGGAATTCGAATGCAAGGAAGTTTTACTGTGCAGGAGGCTGAAGCTCTTGGTATTCGTGAGGCTTTGAGTTGGTTGAAGGATCTAGGATTGGGAGATGTGGATGTGGAAACAGACTCCCAAACACTATTTCATGCTATTTGTTTCCAACCGCATAGACAGCTCAACTGGTCATAGGGGTGAAGTTTGAGAAGAATGACCAGGGATGAGCCCTCATCTGTTTAGCAGTAAGCACATCCTCCAAGATGCTCTAGGGTGTGAGGTCCTTAAGGTTGAGGATTTAACCTTTTAGGAAAGAATGCTATTTGTTCCCACCGTTTCACTCTTCTTTTGGTTTGTTAGTTGAGGACATTATAGAGATTACATCCCTATTAAATGATGTCTTCTTTTGGTTTGTTAGTTGATGATACCCTATTAAATAATGTTAATTTCCACTTTGTTAAGTGATCTGCGAATCGTGCTGTCCATAGCGTCGCTCGGAAAGTCATTTCTATGTCAAGTTGGGGGGAATGGTTTGATGTGCCACTCCTTTTCTTATTCATTGTTTGTTGATGATTTAATGCATTAATTCCTTCTTATAAAATAAATTAAAAATACTGGTTCGAACTGAGAGTTGTAACCGGAACCGTTAGTTCCGTAACCAAAGCCGAAAGCTTTCTAAGAGGTTTTGATTCCGGTTTGTAAATTGTTAAAATCGTGAACCACCGGTTAAAAATCAGAACCGGAATCGAATAGTGAATAGTGGTCACAATTAGTCTGGAGATGCGAAAGAAATAAAGAAAAGAATGATTTGGCAATCGTGAGGATATTACATTGGTGATGCCTTTAAAATTCACAGATACTACTGTTGTTGGGGACAAGTAGGCTATCAAGCTTTTTAGCCTTTTATTTTTTTTTTTTTGAATGCAGCCTTTTATTTAATTTAATTTCTTTTTTTTTTTTGTATTTTTCAGTTTGTAATCGCCCGGAACAACCAAGTTCCTAATCGGACCTGACGGGTTCCGTTCTCAATTTTGTTAAATCTGAACCGAAACCTTTACGTTCCGGTTCTAAACTAAAATAGGAACTGTAGGATAAGATTCTGATTCTAGTTGGGTTTCTACAGTGTAAGGTTGGGTTTGAATTGAAGAGTTGGAATCAAAGCATAGTCATTCATAATTCTGATATGATACCACTCTGTTGATGTTCACTGTCCCAGAAAGCCGACCAACTGTCACTCGCTAAAGTTTTTCAAAATTCAAATGTAATAATCATGGCTGCCAAGTCCTCCATAAAAATCCAGAGGCTCCCTCCTGTCATCTTGTCTTGCTAGTAAATACAGTAAGGTTTTATAAAGACGTATGCCCTTACGTCATCAAGCGGCAGTGAAAATGGTTTTATATAAAAGGATAGTTCCCAATTCTGCTAGTGTAGTACAAAAGACACTAAACCAGAGAAGATTTAGAAAAAAAAAATAAAAAATTACTAAGTTTCCAAGCTGCTTACAATGGCGGCGACAACAGTAGAAGAGCAGTTTCATTTCGTTGTGCTTCCTTTTATGTCCCCAGGGCATACGATCCCCATGATAGACTTTGCCAAGTCACTGGCCAGTTTCGGGGTTAGAATCACAATTCTCCTAACACCCCAAGATGCCAGCAGAGTCAAATCTGTGATTGTTCGTGCGCAAGAATCAGGGCTGCCAATCCACATTCTCCAGATTAGCTTTCCCTGCACAGAGGTTGGGTTACCTGAGGGCTGTGACAATGTGGATTTTCTTCCTTCTTTTGATCTGTTGCTGCAATTCTACGAAGCAGTTAGGATGCTTCAACCTCAAGTTGAGGGGTTGCTGAGAGAGATGAAGCCATCCCCGAGCTGCATAATTGCTGATATGAACTTCCCATGGACAAACAATGTTGCCCAGAAGCTTAAAATCCCAAGAATTGTTTTCCATGTGATGGGTAGCTTCCCTCTCTTGTGCTTGCACAACATAAGGAATTGGAGTGGCTTTCAAAGCTTAGAGTCCGAGTCCCAATACTTTGAGGTGCCTGGACTGCCTCACAGTATTCAAGTAACCAAAGCTCAGGTCTCACAAATGTTGGCTCCAATCTCCGATGGAAAGAAGGACATTACCAAAGAAATACAAGATGCAGAGGGTAACGCTTTTGGGATAGTGATGAACTCATTTGAGGAGCTGGAAAGGGAGTACACCAAAGAATTCAAGAAAGCCAAAGGGAAGAAAGTTTGGAGCATTGGCCCAGTTTCTCTTTGCAACAAGGAGGATTCAGACATGGTTGAAAGAGGAAACAAGGCCACCATTGATAAGCACCAGTGCTTAAAATGGCTGGACTCCAAGGAAACCACCTCTGTCCTCTACGTCTGCCTAGGGAGCCTAGCGCGATTGCCCACTTCTCAGATGATAGAGCTTGGGCTTGCACTGGAGTCATCAAAACGCCCCTTCATTTGGGCTATTAAGCACATTTCTAATGAGTTTCAAAACTGGCTTCAACAAGAAAAATATGAGGAACGAGTTAAAGGGCAAGGCCTTATCATCTTCGGTTGGGCTCCGCAAGTTCTAATCTTGTCCCACCCTTCTATCGGGGGATTCTTGAGTCACTGCGGATGGAATTCGGCCCTGGAAGCTATTACTGCAGGTGTGCCACTCATCAATTGGCCAATGTTTGGGGAGCAATTCTTGAACGAGAGGTTAGTTGTGGATGTGCTCAAAACTGGAGTTAGAGTTGGAGTGGAGTTGCCGGTTTTGGTTGGGAGGGAAGAACAGACAGGAGTCCAAGTGAATAGAGATGATATTGCACTGGCAATTGAACAAGTGATGAGTGGAGGAGAGGAGGCTGAAATGAGAAGAGAAAGAATGAAAAAGCTTGGAGAAATGGCAAGGACGGCAATGGAGGAAGGAGGTTCATCTTTCCTCAATATTGCCAAACTAATTCAAGATGTTGCAGAGGAAACCAACACTCTGAAATCAGGCTGAGCCTATGATGTTTCAATTTTTATTTCTTAATTTCTACTTCATGTTAGTTATTGCAGTTTGATTGACCATTACGCTTTGCCTTCAAAAACCAATAAACCACCGTTAAGAACATAAGATTTCATACCGTGCAGGTCAACCCAATTGTAAATCCATGAACAATACTTGTGTGATCAACCTATAATAATGTGTGACCTAGGTATAGCATGAACGGGGTATAATGTCATTCTCTCGAAATAATGTGTTATGTCACATAATATACAATAATAAAGTAGGCACTTGCACAAGAAAATGAACAAGAAACTATACATTTCATAAGTCATAGCAAGTCATGGGCAAATCCAGAATTTGAGAGGATGCATGCAGGAATCTTTGTGTACAAGATAATTTCTTTACCAAGTAAACAAAAACTAGTACAAAAAATGAGTATAAAAATGTGACTTTCTGCTACCTTTTTAATAATATGGTAGTGTATGGTTGAAAAAAAAGGTGCATTTAAAAAGTAGTCATGGAGTTAGGGTAGTTATTGTGTATTCATGAAAAATTTATTGTGCATTACTAGAGAAGTCTGCATGTTCTCACGTTTAGAGATGTTTTCACTTGAAAGGGTCGCGAATACCCTTATTAAAAAAAAAAAAATCACAACCCTTTTATGGAATAAGGGTCATGGACTCTTAACTTTCCGTGACGCAACAAAAAGGGTCACGGAAAACGCTGTACAAGGGTCGTGGATGACCTGTTTTGTACTAGTGAAAGATTAGAGCAATGAATTACTTTATTCTCGGGACATGTTAATTCAAAGTCCGCTCTAGTACACAAAGCATCAAAACTCTCTAATTTATCCTATTTTCATAGGAACAAATTAAAGTTATCCAAGGAGTGGTTTGAATCTAACCCACATCTCATTGTAGTCAATAATTCTTTAAAAATATATATGCTAATGAATATTGTACACCAAATATAAACTCGATCAATAATCCTATGTTGGATTTATACTCTTTATACAATAATCACAAATAGAACATCTAGACAGGGACGGAGCCAGGACGGAACAATGCGAGGGGCCGAACTACGATTGAAGTACTAAATTAAATACATTGATATCTCGTTAACATATCTCAAAATAATCATTACATTACAAATTCAATAAAGTTTAGAATAAATTATTTATAATTGAATCTATATTAAATTATTTTGCAATATGCTTTTCAATGCACATTACTTTGCATTGTACGGTTGAAAGAATGAAAACATTCACGCATGTTTTAAAAGACTATTGATTATTTCTTGAAAAACCCTCTTCACAACATAACATAATAGCAATTGTTTTCTCAAATACATATACTACACAATTGTTACATTATTATGCATTTTAAATTAAATACAAAATTTATCACACAACCACAAATTTACATAATTAATCAAACAAATGCACTTGATATCCATGATTTAGAATCAAACAAAACAATTATTTAAGATAAACAATAGAATATGAAACAAAAATTAACCAAACAAGTAGTTATAAATAAAAATAAAAAATAAAAATTAACTTGAAAAATATGCATAGATTTTGTTAATGACAAATTATCTTATTATAACGTATATGCCGCATATATGCATGGTTCTACGCAGAGAAACTAGTAAGTAGGTTAAATGAAATTTAATTTGAATGTGAGTCAACAATATATGGAATACATAATTTGAAATAAGAGAGAACTGAAAAAGTTGAGAAGATGAAAAAATTTATAACTTTACCTGTAAGATTAATTAAGTGGAGGGGGGCCAAATATTTTGAAAAAACAACAAAATTTTTTAAAATTCTATATAACATTTTTTTAAAAAAATTTAATACATATATAATATTAAAAAATTTTGGGGTGGGGGAGGGGGCCAAGGCCCCCCTAAACATACACTTACCTCCGTCCCTGCATCTAGATATATAGATAATATAATTCTAACTCAAGCCTATAAACAAACTATTCACACATAATATGCAAGAATACATGCAAAATCACAAGAACAATATGTAAATAGTATAAATGAAACACTACAGATATAGGGAAGAGAAACTTATATATTAAATATGAAGAGTAATCTTAAAATTCAAATGTAAATCCATAAATACAGGTTTCCAATTATGTAATAGAACATAAATGTAAGGCTAATATGATCTAAAAATATGAAAGTAAAAGGTAGACAAATAATATAATTAGAGTTCATCCAACAATGGATGGCCTTAAGGATGACTATCCATCATCCTGTTCATCTACTATTAGAGTAGCAATGGATGGCCTTAGGCCGGGACGTACGCTCGTCCATTGGCATCCTTCCTTGCATTATCTCTTTCATCACCATTTTTAAAATTTTTTTTTATTAGCGTTAAAAATAGGCTTGATGGTATTTATAAAAGTTGTTGCTCTTTGATTTAATTTTTCAATAATTTTAACAATTACTCAATTTAAGCATTTCTATATTGAGATATAACCAAAACACTAAATGATTATTTTGACCGAGAATCACAACTTTATATCGTTTTGTTCTAGTTATGTAGCAACATGTGCTCAAGACACCAATATTTTTTTCTCCTTAAATCTGTCTTTTTTCCAACTTAAATTTATTTTTGTACATATAAAATTAATGTATAAAGAATATATAACTAAAAAACTTTAATTGAGATCCTTTAAATGACACGTATTGATAGTTTTTTTTTTAAATGTTAAAATAAATCTATATTATTGTTGGTTCATAAACACACAACTATTAGTACATAAATTCACTAATGTATGTTTATAAAATTACAACTGCAGATTCATAAAGTTATCATTGCAAGATTATAAAGTCATTATTGCAAGATGATAAAGTTACTATTGAAGGTGCATACAAACATTACTATAGGTTCATTAGGTTATTATAGCATAAAGGTTCATAAAGTTATTAATACACATTCATTAATTAACTACTACAAGTTCATAAAAGTTTTTACTACATGTTCAGAAAATCACTACTATAGATTCATAAAATCACTACTGCAAGCCCATCACAAAATATATGCCTAATTTGTTTTTTTATTTGCCTATAGTAATATTTTTATGTGTCTACAAAATTATTTTTATGTACCAAGTGTAATACTCCCAATTTTTGGAAACCGCAATATTGAAATTAAGAGGCATTTTATTTATTTAAAATATGGAATTAGAATGTGGAAGGAAGTGAAAATAACATTTTGAAACAGATGGAGTGCTACCACCGTGTTTGGGCTATTAACCAAGCCCAAATGTTGAGGCTAAAAGGGTTCTATCTATCTATAAATCCATAACACTGGGGGCAAGCCCGAGCAGGCCGGGCGCACCTAGCGCGCCAGGTACACCTTGCACGCTTGGCATGCCCAGGACAAGGGTGTGCGTGCCCTCGTGCGCCTAGGTGCCCCGGCTGGACGCCTACCACCACTACCCAAGGTGCGTCACCACGCCACCAGGGTGCACCTAGCGCACTTGTGGCACCTTGGCCCTGGGCGGAGGGCACACCCTTCGACGACCTCGCTGTCGCCCTCCACAGTGGTCGGCGCTGGCCACCATCTAGTGTTCTCAAAACGGGCCAGCCCGGTCCGTACAAGCTAGCCCGTCTCGAGTTAGACCACAAATAGGACGGGCTAGGCCGAGCTCATTTTTTTACACGGGTTGGGTTGTAACCCAACCCGTGAAGTGACAGTTTGGCGGGGCAGCCCGCCAGCCCATCTTACAAAAAATAAATAATTAATTGCAAAAATTGTAATTATTAATTGATTATTCACACATTTATCTATTTATCTAATATTCTAAATTGAGTAAATTCTTAACACACAAAATTAATATTTATATTTAAAGTTTTTAACACAAAAATCAACAATCAACATTCAACAATTCAACATTTAAACTTTAAAGTTTTCAAGTTCCATATTTACATTAATACATTCATCACCATTCATTCATTCATCATAATTTGTAGTTATCTTCATCATCAAAGTCCCAAACTCTCAAAGACTCAAAGTCCAAAACAACTAAAACAAGTCTTAAATTATCAATAAACAATCAATCATCAATAAACATCATTACATCAACAACATTAGAAGCCTTCAATCAGTTATCAATCATCCATGGGATCCATGAGGACCATGACCATGAATCCTCAATCATCATCATTATCTTCATCATCTACATAAATTTATAAAATCAATCATTAAAAATATATAAGTAATCATACTAAGTTATTAACTATTAAATAAATATTATATAATAATACATTAATACATTAATACCTTCATCAATCATCAATCATCATCAACATTAACAACATTAGAAGCCGTGTAATCCATTGATGGATTATCAATATTATCTTCATTATCTACATAAATTTAAAAAATAAATCATTAGAAGTTTATAAGTATTTGTTAGATATATTAAATATAATATATTTAATATAATATATATTAAATATAATATAATATATCTATAATATATATATATATATAATATATTAGAGAAAGAGGGAGAGAGAGGAAAGAATGCTTTGTGATTCAAATTGATGATTTAAAATGGTTAATAACAAGCCTATTTATAGTGAATACAAAACTAGTAAAGCATAAATTTAGGAGATGCATGCTCCATGTATTGTAAAGTCATGACCCACTTACTGCATCCTCAATCTGCATGCATTGCCACAACTCCCACATACTTGGTTTAATTAAATTATAATAATAATATTATTATAACATTGCCTCCTTTAAACCAAGTTGGATATATTGGTCATCCCAATATCTTTCTTCAATTTAAGAAATGTCTCTGTCTTCAACGGCTTCGTAAAGATATCTGCAACTTGACATTCACTTGAACAATACTCAATGTTGATTTGTTTTTCAACAACCAACTCTCTGATTTTGTGATACTTGATATCAATGTGTTTGCTGCGACCATGAAAGACTGGATTTTTGGACAACGATATTGCTGACTTGTTGTCACAAAAAATAGTTGTAGGTGCTTCCTGCTCGTGTTGTAAGAACTCCAAAATTCTCCTCAGCCAAACTGCTTGAGTAGCACAG